GAAAGGAAAAAGAAAACACACCCAGTAAGAAGTAAAGCAAAATTTACAGCCCCCACCTATTAAAAACATATTCAAACATTACTTTTTCTTTCTATTGATTGTCTATACTCAGAACTGAGTTGTTTTTCACTTTAGACCAAGCTTTGGCTTTCATTTTCATTTCTGATGTTAGCATTTTCATGTTCACTAACCATGTCCTTTTGGACTATATCTTCAATTTTCTCTGCAAGGACATAAAGATTGGCTTTCTTGAGACTTTGAATCAAAGTGCAATATGCATCTTTCTTCCCGTGAAGTTGATACCAATTACGGAGCAGCTGGACCTTCTGTTCAGCTGTATCTTGGAGATTGTCATTCTTGATTTCATCTATTTTTGCTTCATTGATACCATTCTTCCGAACGAATTCTCTAACTTGATTTATTTTCATTTGCTCAGCAATAGTGGTAATATATTTACTCAAGTCGATGTCTGAAAAAAAGAAAACAGTCTCTGAAATATGTTCTTCTAAATTAATTGCCATGACTGAAAACCATATTTATTTCTCCTCTTATAGTTCTTAAGAACATAGGTAAATCCTAGAGGTCTAAAGTGCTGATAGAGAATCACAAATACAGAAACAACCTTGAGTTCTAATGCTAATTCCTCCTATGTCCCCAGTAATTTGACCTGTGACCTCAGCAAGATATATAACATCTCTGTATCTTCTTTTCTCATCTAGAAAAGGGTTGGTAAAGATCACCTCTAAAATCCCTTATGGATCTGATATTCAATGACCTACAAATCTACAAGGCAAGCAGAGTTTATGATCATCTCATCCTTGAATCACAAGCCAAAGAAGACAACTGAGGAGAATTGTGAATGTTGTTACAGTGCTGAAATACACCAATAAAAACTGAGTCTGCAACTTAGATTAACCTCTAGGTCAGTTTAGGCAAGACTTCTATAATACAACTAAATATTTGTAAAGGAAAATGTCCCTAACCCTCAGAATATAGTGTCTCATCGCTACCTGATTTATTATTAACTAGAAATATTAGTTATAAATTTAAACAAACTGCCTGATATACTCTTGATGGTGAGCAGGAAGAACTGTAAGCTCAAGGAATAGCAAAATCCCATAATACGTTACTGAAATTAACAACATTATTTTAGTCTAAAATTGGCCTGTTACTCCTAAGGAAGCCATCTCTATGAAATAAAATGATAAAAGCCTTACCTGAGAAATTCATTGGAACTATTCTCTGGGGAGAAAAAAGAATATGTAGGGAGAAGAGAAAAATAAAAATATATTTAGAGTAGTCCAAATGTAATTTTTTAATTCTTCCTTAATACTGAAGTACAATCAGTTGCTTGATGTATAAAATTAGCTAGACTAAGTGATTAAGAAGGTTTCTTTCATCATTCAAGTTTTTATTCTGAAGGTTCCAGCCTTGCCAGAAACTAAAAAATATTGGTTTATTTTTTTCACAGCCAAAGAACTTAGGAAATTCATGGAATGTGTTAAGATTATTTTTCATATAGACTCATGAAAACAAACATAACAAACATAATCATTCTAAAACTCTCTTTAACTATTCTTATTCTGACATGAGAAAATGGTTTAAATTGAAATTATTTTGTACCTTATTGATTTAAAGAACCCTAACGTTAGCCCACTGAGCCCTGGCCCCAAATGAGAAAATCATTATTCATGAGGTAAACTGGTTTTTCTTCCCAGTGTATCTTCTGTTCTTTGAGATGTTTTAATCCCATGTTTGAAAAACATATAGCGAGAGCTCTGATAACCGGTGGATGGAGAAAGTTAAACTGTGCCTCTGTAATGGGCTTTAAGAGCTGTCTCTGTGCATGGGCTTGGATACTGCATCATCTGGTAAAGGATGTTGCTGCAGTTTCTCTGCAGGACTAACACCAGTGAGGAACATGACGTTGGGCCACATCCTTTTCCAGCTGACACTGAGTACACACCCACTGAGGTCCTCTGTTAACTCTTATGTGGTATGCAGCTTACTGATAAACTGGGCACCATATCTTAATTCCTTTTTGGTGCCCTCTAATCCATGCACACACAAATACAATAAATGTTTGTTTTTTAAAAAGTAACAAATAAAAAGATGAATTACTACTTTCTCTATGTTTCTCAGAAAGCGGAGACATGTTTCAACACTTACAGGAATTGAAGCTCTAGATTCATTGTGACCAACATTATTCCTGCCTCGTCTTTTCCGCCCTAAAAGATCAAAGAAATTTCTATCAAGCTCAGCTCTCAACCTCGTAGGAAGCATGTGAGAACTACTGTCAAATGAAGAAAGATATGAGAAAGAAAGAGAAATTCACTGAAACTTAAAGTGACCAAACACCTCAAGAGACAGCATTGTCCTGATTTTGGACAATTCCATCCCACCAGGGCAAGTGTTCTACAGATATGCCACATCTTAATGGAAACATCCAATTACTACACACTGGCCTAGCCTGAAGCTGGCTTTTGACTTATCATATGGCATCAGTATGCCCTCTCACCAGCTTTGAGCTGGATGTCATGGTTTAGGGCATAGAAACATATAAGATATGAAAAATCGACATCAGCTTGCCATGGAGTGGCAGTTAATGTCCAGAAATTCAAGTATGCACACTCAAAGACTATATGCCTTGAAGTGAGTATGAGATGGAAGAAAGAAATCTGTAAGTTTCCAAGTACAGTTACAGTGTTTAAATATTAAATATGTATTTTTATCTGAACAACCTCCAAAGGCAAGGCAATCTCTTTATCTTCAGCTGAACTAGAGAAACAGAGACATCTTTCAACAGAGAAGAAAAATGGAATGCTTCAGAGTTATTGAAAGTTGTATTGCCCTGTGTTTTATGAATGATTTAAAGGATTTTTTTGGAGTACTTATGATTATGCCCAATTTTGGCTTATCTACTGACTTTACTAGGTAACCTTTGCATAAAATATATTGGATAGTATTTTAAATTACGGTGGAGAAATAATAAAAAAATCATGGAGTTTGGACAAGGGTGAGGAGGCCCAAAGAGAGACAAATTTATCAAGTGTCCCCTGCGATGCCTTTCCCAGGATGGCCCTCGCTTCTTGTGTTCTCTTAATGCATGGGGCAATCTCGACGAGCAGTGAAGGATTACTTCTAATTCTTGCTGACTGGCTGAAAACACCTTTATTAACAGGAAGGATGAGAATACCCACTCAGTGCCCAAAACGATTGCTCAAAAACAGTAGCCGAGAGATAATATCATCTATTCTGATCAGCTCTCAGGGATGCATTTAGAGGCCGGATTAAAAATATAACGGAGCTACCTACCTGGTAGATGCTTATTTATATGTAGGAGGCCGAAAGGAATTCTTTGAACAAGTACTTTCTAAGTAATTTCAACCCGTGGTTTGAACAAAATAAGAACTTACACCAAATTACTGATCCTGCAAGTGCTGAAATCGGGATGAAGATGAGGAACCACAGATACCCACGGCTGGATCCTGTAGATTGGAACACTGGATATTTTATATAAAAATAAGCAGTCTTTAAGATTAAACAAGGTACTCTCAAAGAATCAAAATTTACCGTGGGAATAGGAGAAAGGAAAGTATATGCATTAAAAAAAATAATAACCTTTACATTTGGTGTTGTTGGTTGGTGTGCAATTCTCACTGATTCCATGTTCACACCTAGAAAAAAATTTAGAGGGCATTCAGAAAGCCTGGTGGATGAATTCTCTGATCATTTTCAATGACACACCGTAAATCTGGGGCCATTTTATTCATCTTTGCGTCTATATCTGACAAACATATTTCCTCAAGTATTTTTAGATTTGCATCTAAAGCTAGTACAAATTTACTATATAATTTGGACATCTAGATGAATAAGGAATGACTATGTTTTAAAATATCAGGAAGGTAATAAAATATTGACATATAAGAAAAAGGATTAAATAGACCCCAAATAAACTTAAAATTGGCAATAAGCTGTGCTCCTAAAATACTGGGAGACAATGATAAACTGCCAAAAGCAATTTCAGAGCAATCTCATAGAAGAATAAAATGGCCAACAATAGCCACTGCCTAGATGTTACTTAAGGAGCCTACTCAGCTGGCCCTTAGAGGTTTCCCTTTTTAGCATCAGGTCATGATGAGGACACTCAAGAGGTTCCCATGGGTTTTCTTCAGATAGCCAAACACTGACAGTCTGATTGTCTATATGGCAGCTTGGCTCTGCCTATTACCTAACTAGATGAGTTTGAGCAAGTCACTTAACCACCATGAGCCTGTTTTCTTACCAAATAACAACGAGGTAATATTATATGCATGAAGAAATTATTATGGTGAGTACAAAATTAAATCAAGATTATTAAATATTTAGAACTACTTCTTGCTACAATCTGACTTAAATTAGTCCCTCCCCACAATCCCTACTTATTCTGTCATCATGGAGGCTCTGACACTTGGGGCTAAAAAGGAAAGGCTAGGTTAAGTGCACATACTTTAAATTTTTCCAGTAAATAAGAGACATAAGGCATCATGTCTCTCCTTTTCAAGCCTACTAGGTAAACTCCTAAATGTTTCCTAAGATGAATTACAAATTTAAGGAGAAGCAAATTAATATAATCTTACTTATATTTATATGTATGCAAAACAATGTCTTACAAAGCAGAAGCTATTTTTATAACACATATTACCCAATCTGATCTTCACAAAAATGAAGCTGATAGGACAAATGACTTATGTGCAACCTAATGAGTGAGGAAACTAAAGCTCAGAGAGGTTAAGTGATCTGCTCAAACTCATCTAATTTTTCAGCAGAAAAGTGAGCTGCAAAGTCAGATTTTCCAACTTTGGGTCAAAAGCAAGCTCTTTAGCATGAAAGTCAAGACTCGTCATGATCTGGCCCTGGTCCCTTTTCAGTCTTTTCTACACTCCAGCCAGGTACCTTGTTCCCCAGAGCTTCCTCCGTCTTTTTACAGCTGCTATTTCCTTTAGATCCATGTACACCTTCCTTCACGACAAGCCATGTGTCGTATCTTCACTGCATCTCCCCAGGCAGGATTGAAAGGTTCTATACGACTCATAACTCCCTGGGCACAAGTCTCTTCTGATGCTTGCCACATGGTCTCGATACACTAACCATGCCTTTTTTGACTCTCTCTGCCTCTAGCCTGAGAGTGTGATGCCAAGAATGGACCTTGCTCATAGCTTAAGCAGCCAGCAGTGTCAAGCACCCAGGAGGTGTTCAATACATGTTTGGAGACTGGATGTCTGAATGAACAAATGGTTATCTAGTTGTTTGGAGGCAAAGCAAGACTAGAACCCAAATTCTTGACTCTCAGTCAGTGTTGCTTCCCTCTAGGAAGGCATTATCTCTCAAGGTATAGCTAGTGTTTTAATCAGAAAAAGACTAAAACTTACGTATCGCAAGGATTACAGTGCTCGCATGGAGGAATGTCACAAAAAAAGTTTGATTTACATCTGCACTGGGTATTCTGGATCTGGGTACAGTTTTTTTCCACTTCTAAGCCTAGAAAACCAATTCGCAGACTATTAGTTATAGCAGCTAGTTATAAATGGACTATGAAAATGATGGGCAGGAGCTGCATAAATTTTTGAGATCTGCTGCTTATCATCAGCAGTCACACCATCATGCTTTTAATAACATAACTAGTATCTAAATGCAAAACAGGCAACCCCAGGATGAAGTGGTTGAAATCATCAGCAGAGTTTTAAGGGGACAGACAATCCAGCAACCAAGACAACCTTACCTCTGCTTAACTGGCTCCCCTGTTCCTCTAGTCTAATATCTGGCTACTAGTGTGGGTGTGGCTTGAGGACCAGTAGCATCAATATCACCTGGGAGCTTGTAGAACTGCAGATTGTCAGACCCCACCCCAGACCTAGTCAATCAGACCAATGTCAAAGCACTCACTTAGAGATTCTATTTCTAAGGTGGACCTAAATGCTGGCATCTTTCATAGCACCTTTTGTGATTCTAATGTACAGCCAAGGTTGAGAAACACTGCTTTAGAATCTGAATAGGGACAAGAAAAGCTTATGTCCAGAGATTTCTTGATGTCAAACAAAATTGAGAGTACTTTTGTTATAGTTTAATCTGGGCCTTCAGAATAGATTGGGATAACCATGAAAATTCAGGGCCCCAACTGGAATTGTCAGGACAAACCAGATCCCCAAAGGTAAAGCATCCCATCTACCTCTCGGGATCTTTTATCCTTGGATATGAAGGTTTCTGAGCTCTTTCTAGACATGAACAAGAGCCATTACACCAGCATAAATTAAAGTAGAAAAAATTTTTTCTGCACTTTTGATTGGAGCTGATGAACCCCATCGACAGAGTTCATATCTAGTCAGTCTCCTATGCCTGGGAGAATTGCCTAGAGTTGACCCATAAATGTCTAGACCAGTCATTAGCTCAGTACCTGTTCCTGCTTCACCCCAGACAGCTCCATGTTGTCCCTTCTTGTGTGCCAACATAGCACCAAAGTAGTTCCCAATTTCAAACTGTATCATAAACAGTTCTCCATGGAGTATGACGATTGGTCTTTTTCAATTGCTTTTTAAGACACTTACCTTGTTCTCCATCACAAATTCCACATCTTCTGCATTTAGAAGAATAATGTTTCCTGTCTGTGTACTCCTCTCCTTCTGGACAGGGAACACAGTCTGGTTTGCCCTCATCAGTTGTACAACCAGTATCTTTCCGTGTGCCTGCCAAGATAAAAATGGAGCAAGTGTTTGAATGCAGGAGGTCACACAACAACGTGGAAAGTATGCAGGGATGGCAATAAAACACTGCTAAAACAGGGAGGATTAGGCTAATGATCTATGAAGACAATGGGAGAGAAGGTTATTGTAAAAATCATGTCAAGGGACAGAAAGTCTCCCAAAATAAGAGCTAAAAGAGTGACTGAAGAATTATACATACAGAAATAGCCTAATTAACAACAGGAGTGTGTGAAGGCTAGAATGACCAAGTGTACTGGAAAAAATTCCTTTACCAACTTCTTTTGGGGGGAGGGGAGAGGTTGGTAGGTATACATTTATGGTGTAGATAGCTACCACTGGCTACTGAGATGACCTAAAGATTCACTTTGCTCTGCTTCTCATTTTATTTTCCAAAGTCCACAGATCCTGATAAGAGATATCACAATATAAGAAAAAGAATGTTTGAAGTTCTAAAGACCTCCATCAAATCTTTAGTAGCCCCATGATCTTTAACAAAAGTGTTAATCTCTCTACACCTAAATTTCTTCATGCATGTGGTGGAGATAATAGTACTACTCTTGCATTGCTACCAGAACTGCATTGTTACAAGGACCTGTCTTGCAAGCGCTCACTGTCCCTTTTCTCTCTCCTTTCTTTTTATTCCTTTGCCATTAAGGCTCAGAGTATGTTTTGATGGGCAGGCACGAACATATTTATAACAAATTTATATAAGGCTTCTTATCTTAATACACGTATTTTAAAGAATATTCACATTTGCTTTCATTTACTTTAAAAACAAAGTGGGTCATTATATTGCTATTATACAATAATACCTTCTCCTGGAAAATTTGTTCATTTAACGAGGGTTTATTAAATGCCTATTGTGTGCCAGGAACTTT